AGCTGTCTCCTGTAGTCTGTTAACCTCTATTCTCTCTGGCTCGTGTCTGGCTCCCAACCAGCAAGCCATCTCTCTGTGTCCCTTGTCCTCTTTTCCCGGAGAACTGGTGGACAAAAGCAGGAAGGAGCATGGAAGGTGGAGTCCCAGTCCATTTAGGTAAATCCCCAGCCAGTCAGATTATGGGGCTTGGAGACCAGGGGCTGACTCCATGGTGGCTCTGACCTTAGCACAGAGGAGCTAAAGATGTGGGCTGCCCCAACCCAGCCACAAACTTGCACTGTGCTCTTAGGCCCTTTCTCCTAAGGAGTGAAAGCAAATTATTAGGGATAATGAGGCTGGGGGTGGAGCCTGCATTAGAGGATGCTGTGGGCTAAACCGTGTCCTCCAAAAATTCATGTTGAAGCCATCACCACCTGCCACTCCAGGGTGACGATATTTGGAGATGAGATGATTGAGAGGAAACTGGGTTTAAATGAGGTCATGAGGGTGGGGCCTTTACCATGAGATTAGTGTCCTTATGAGAAGAAAGACCAAGGATCTCTCTCTCTAGCTCCTTCGTGAGAGGACACAGCAAGAAAGTGGCCATCTACAAGCCAGAAGCTAGCACACCAGCCAGCAGTGTGACCTGCAACTTCCCAGCCTCCAGAACTATGAGAAATAAATGTCTGTTGCTTAAGCCCCCAGTCTGTGTACTGCACCAAGATGGGGCCCGGAGCCTCTTTCTTTTCCGACACGGATGAATAAACCACTTCTATCTCTTCTACTCTTCCCTTTCTTCATCTTCAAAACAGTACATAAGGAAACAAGAATGCCATTAATTAGCTACTGGAAGCCAGGTTTCAAGGAAATTCATTGTGTCAATTCCCTTCAGGTGTAAGAGAGATGGCTCTGCTGAAATTCCCTGCTCCAAGCTCCATGCCCAGCCCCGCCCTGCACCGAGATGCCAGGAAGGCTGGTGGTGGGAAGGAGGATGGGTGTGGGAAGAATCTCTGCCCTGAGACGCCATGGTGAAAGGCCACTGCAGGCCTGCTCTCCCTCCAGGTCTTGCAGACTGAGTCAAGCCTGTCCCTTCCCCTCTTTCTCATGCTCTCCTCTGTCTTCTCACCCACAGCAAAATGACCATAAGAGTGGGCTTCTTGGCTGAGGCTGGCACCGGAGCAGGGAACAGGGGATGGGGGGGATGGGGTGAGGTGGGGAGGGAGTGCCCCATGCCTTGCCTCTGAGCATCACTGCTTCCTGCCCAGTCCCTGCAAGTGGAGGACGTGCCTGACTCTGGACTGTACACTCTGTTCTAGTTACTGTTACATTTGAGATGGAAAATAGAAAAAAAAATACAATAATCATATTGAAAAGCTGACTCTGCCCTGCATGCCCTTTGGTTTTCTGTGTGTGAAACCTGGCAGAGGCCGGTTTGATGCTGGGGGAGGGTGGGTAAGGAGGACGCTGGCCTTCTGTGATACAGAGCAGCTCCAGCTGACCTCCCTGGGTTTTGGGGGGGGTGTACCTCCCCTTCCAAGGGACCCCCTGGCAGTAATGCTCTCTCACTGGCTCAATGTGTGGGATGAGAGGCTATGGAAGTGGTCCTGTTTCGGGGTTCCATGAAGGCTTTTTTAAGAGAAAGGTGAGATTTTAAACAGACACAATCCACTTGGAAAGGAAGAAGGGGCCAGGGGGAGCACAGTGACCCTGGCTCTCCTTCTGTTTTGAAATCAGTTATGTTACCTGCTGCTTCTGCTCCCCTGGAATTTGCAGAGTGGAATCTATGTAGAGAGCATGTATGAGATGAAATGCCTTCTACAAAGAGCTGGCCCAGGGGATGGAGAGAGAGGAGATCTTGGGGAGAAGGCCCAGATCCTGTCCCACGTTTTCCATGAGAGCTGTGTATGCACACACTCAACTGGAAGGGGCAGACTTGCAACAGGGAGGCCGAGTGGGGCCTGGGAAAGCGGTACAGCCCCTCCTGATGTGGCATCCCCTGTAACTGCAGAGTTCGCAACCTCTAATCACACCACTGGTGGGGAGAATGAGGTCATAGTGTCTGCAAGTGACTTTCCCAATAAGAAGCCCTCTCAAGCGGTGAGCTCCCCACTCAGCCTCCTCCTGAGCCAGCAAAACTCTGATATGAAGCAGAATCAGATAGTCCCCTGCCTCCGCACACGTGTGTACAGGCTGAGTACTGGAAGACCCGTGAGTCCTCTTCTCCATCCCAGTTGGATGGAGACAGATTTGCGTAAAAGCTGCAAGTAGGGTACCATCTTCTTTGCTCTTAACATACAGGAACGCCTGGAGACTTCCAATACAAAGGAACTGCCTCCCTCACCGCAGCTCCTGATTGGTGCCCTGCCCTGGCCTTTGGGGACTAAACTCCCGGAAGAAGGTGCATAGAGCCATGCACAGCTGTGCCACCAGCTCTCTTCTGACAAAGAGAACCCATGCTGTTTGGCACCCCAGGAGTGTCCAGTTCAGGCTCCTGCCTGTTGGAAGTCTGGGATTGATACGAAAAGGGTGAAATTCACCAAGGCTTCAGACATCTGTGTCCACGTGAGCTCCTGCCCTCTGAGAACAGATACAAACCTTTCAGCTGTTTCTCTGATGGGTGGGAAGGAGACGTTCCCGCAAATCTGACTCTCAGGCCCCCTCTGTGAGCAAGCTGTGGAACAGCATCTTGCAGACAGCTCTTCTCCATGGGCTGGGAAGGGCCTGAGCTCCAGAATGGGACAGTGAGCCCACGAAGAGGCGGCACGAGGTCACAGCTGGGCATCACCATCGCTGGCAATGGTGTGGCCACCAAGGGGAAGCAGAGCTGGCCACACCTAGGCCACCTGCCCCCAAAGCCTTTCCCTTTTACCAATCAGCCAGAAGGTTTCCACCTGGGGCACCACCCAGGTTGCCAGAAGAGAAAGTGGCAAGTGGTTTTAATTACGGTCGGAAGGACTGTAGGGAAGGCAGGCTCGCTTCTCAGCCATTTTCAGAGAAGTCTACGGTCCGTTTGCCAAGGCAGGTGAAACAAGCGTCTCAAAGCTATAGTGTTTGTGGTGGCTGTGTCCCCCTTGGAGCAATCAGAAGGGGTGCCCTCTGGGGCAGTGGGCCCTGCAGGCAGAGACGCTAGGGCAAGAGGAGAAGCATCTGTGCATGGCCAGGCTCGGTGAGACCACCAGGGAGAAAGAGGAGAGAAGTGCTGTGGCAAAACCCACTGGGTCTCAAGGGCTCTTTGCTCCCCAGCAGAAACCCCAGGTGGGCAGAGCTGACTCCTCGCTGCGGTTCAGCAGGCTCAGCAACAGGGAGCCCAGTCTCTTAGGAGCCCATGAAAGTGTTTTAATTTCTTTTAAAATCAGAAGAAATAAATGAATAAATGAACTTTGAGGTTGAAGAAATGTTTTCATATGTAATATTAACATATTTGTCTTTATGCCAATGCAGTCTTAAAATTATATATATGTATGTATTTTTTTTTAATGGAGGAAGGAGTGCCTAGTGCCTAGGAAAGTTAACTGGGTCCTGCACCCTGCCAACAGGACCACCTGGGGGGTCGTGGTCCTGATCATTCCCATGGGCCACAAGCGAGGCAGCCTCCCAGTCCTCTTCTCTGTGGCTCCCTCACCAGTTGCACGTTCTTCGACCCTCTGCAAGCAGAGCTCAAAAGGAAAAAAAAGAAAGAATGCATATGCCTTGGTACCGACGTCACCTTCGCAGCCATCTGTGTCTCTGGTCTCCCTTTTGTCTTGCTCTTGGCCTTTGAGCTTTTCCAGACTTTGGAAAGCCTGACCTGAGAAGGGGAAACTGGAACCAACCAGTTGAATGAGCTCCTCTTCCCAACACACCCTCCGCCCCTGCCGCTCAGCATCCGGGAAGGGTGGTGGGGCTCCCGGCTCTGGGTGAGGGTGGGAAGCACTTGAAGCCTTTGAGAGAGGGGTGCGGGGCCAAGGCTGGAAAGAAAGGGTGGCCGAGAGCGCGCAGGGGCTTGGGGCGCCACCTCCCCGCCCCGGCACAGTGCGAGGTCGGCAGTGCTGCCCTCCGTCGGGTCCCGGCGGCGCTGGGCGCCCGCGGCCGCGCAGACGGATCGTGTTTCCTCGGGGCTCGCTCCCGGGCCTGGCACGGGGCCGCCGCCGCCGCCCCCTCCCCGCGCGCAGGCTGCCTCCAGCCGCGGCCACGGGGTAGCGCTCGGCCCCCCTCTCCGCGTCTCCGCCTCCGCCGCGCTCGTCCCCGGCTCGCGCTGCCCCCGCAGCTCCAGCTCGGCGCAGGCAGCGGCGGCTCTCCGGACCCCGAGCCCGGCAAGCGGAGGGCGGCGGGCGCAGCGCGCGGCGGAAGCTCCGGAGGCGCTGGGGCGGCGGCGCGGCGGCCGCCGCTCCTCCCGCCGGGTCGGTGGGTGGGCGAGCGCCGGGCGTCCGCGGAGGCGCCGCGTCCCCGGGGCCGGGACTGCCCGCGGGGCTCTCCGGATTGCGTCTCCCCGAGAGCTCGGGCCGGGGAGCGGCGGAGGACAGAGCCGCCGGGCTCCAACCTCGGGCCGGCAGGAGGCTGCGTGCCCGGGCGCGGGCGCCAGCCGGGGTCGCCGAGCCCAGCAGCCGGCCCCGCCGCCTCGCAGCCGGCGCGGACATGGGCGCGCGTGGGTGCGCGCCGGGCCGCCGGACCCGCAAAGTTTGCTAGCCCGCTGGACGCGGAGCCGAGGGCGCGCTGGGGCCCGGCGCCCCTGGGAGGGAGCCAGAGTCCCCGGCCTGGGCGCCAGCGCCGTGCAGCCGGGAGGGGTGGCTGGGCCCCGCCAGATGCCGCCTGCAAAGTTAGACAGAAGAAAACTTCAGCTCCAGGGAGATTCGGGCCGCTATGCCAACTGCGCCCCCCGAAACCGGCGCCCCTAGGAGGACCCCCGCGCCCGCGCCTGCCGCCGCACTCGGCTCCAGCCCAGCCCCGGGGGCCCGGCGTCGGGAACGGCTGTGACTGCGTCCGCCCGGAGATCCCAGCCAGGGGGCGGGGAGGGGGCGGGGGGCGGGCAACGTGGCCACAGGAGGAAGTTTCCTGAAGTTGTCGGTTTATTCCGGAGCCCGGCCCGGGACCTGACCAGATCGCAGAGGCCGCCCCGCCTGGGAGAAGAAGTCGGATCTGGGGGGCTAGGAGCGGGGACGCCCCGAGTCCGAGAGCGCGGCTTTTTCTCTTTCTCTTTGCTCATCCCTCGCCTTCCGGGCGCGCCGCCGGGATCGTACTCGGACCGAAGAGGAGGAGGAAGGGCTGGGGTCGCCAGCTCTGCCCCTCCTGGGCACATACTGCTCCGAGTCACAGCAGCGTAGACTATCTCCTGGGTCGAAGCCGCGGTGTACCCGACCCAACCAGGATTATAAAACGGTGCGGAACCTCCCCACCAAGGCTGGGCGCCATGTGGGGGCTGCTGATTTGGACTCTGCTGGCCCTGCATCGGATCCGTGCGGCCGGAGCCCAAGGTAAGGAGGGTCGCCCCCACGTGGGGCCGGAAAGGGGGCTGGAGGGGAGGGTGGCGGGAGCTCGCTGGCCTCGCGGTGGCCTCCCGGACACCGGGTTTAGCCTGGGCAGAGAGAGCCCCCTCCAGGGAGTTGCAGGACCACCCCCCCCACCCCACCTCCTGCCTCTAGTTTTGGGGGCTCTCTTTCGGGGGTGGGGCAGTTTTTCTGAGACTTGTGGCCTCCAAACGAGGGAAGGTGGGGGCCTGTGCTGGAGGCGTCGCCCGGGAAGGCTGAGAAGAGCCTGAGATGAGATGGGGGTCGCTGCCCGCCGCCGCGATGGGTGTCCTCGGGCCGGCGTGGGAGGTGGGGCGCGCCATTCGGCGCCCGGCTCAGCCGAGCTTCTTAGGCCGGGCTCCTGGTTTCCCGCTGGGTATCCATGGGGAAGGGCAGGGCCCTGCTGGGCAGGAGCGGCGGCCCCGGGCAAGGGAGTGGGGCTGGAGGGCGGCGGAAGGATCCTGAGTCGGGGGCTTGGTGCCAGTTGGTCGCCCGGGGCGGGTAGTTGTTGGGGCTGGCCACTTACGGGGCCCGCGCCCGGCCGGCCTCTGGGGCTGGGATGCTTGGCGGTGCACAGGGAGGGTCTGAGGCCCTCTGTCTTCCCACCCGCAGACGCACACAGCATCCTGCCTCTGCCTGCAGCTCCTCTGGCCGCTCGGTTGTCTCTGCGCCCGCCGCTGTGACCTGTAGCTGCCTGGAGCAGCCTCGCAGCGGCGAAGGGCTGCTGGATTTGGGGTGGGAGTGTTCGCAAGGCTGAGCAAGCTTGATTCGCACTGCCCTCTTCCAGAGGGCGGATGCCCAGACATCACCCCAGTCCGCGGGCAGGTCCCAGCCGCGGAGGGCGTCTGTACCTACGCTTACGAATTGCCTCTGGGGTTCGCAGATGCAGACAGCGGTGCCAGCGGTGTCCGAGCGGCGCCTGCTGGGGGCGAAAGGAGACGAAGCCTGAACTGAGGTCCAGGACTCGCGCGGGCCTGGCATTCTCTCCCAGGCTCTGGATGGGGCCTGGACCCACCCTGAGGCGCCGGTCTCAGAGGCTGCAACCCCACCACACCTCTAGGGTCGCCAAGGGAAGAAGGGACCCCGGCGTGCCCAGCATCAGACAGTCCAGAGAGCCGAAATCAAAGAGATAAAGATAATCAGCTCTCACTCACAGGGTGGAGGGGGAGGATTTTACAAGGTAGTTTGCATTAAAACCACTTAGACATTTTGTAACTGGGCCCTGTAAATGTAAGGTAATAAAAGTTATTATTAGTTTTATGGTGGTCATAAAATCTTCCAGCAATTGGGGACCTCAGAGGTCATTTTATTCTAGTAGCCATTTAACAGATGGGAAAACTGAGGCCCAGGTGCATTAAGTGACTTGCCCAAAGCTGCAGGATGACCTGAGGTCAGAGTCAGGACTGGACCAGCTAAGTTCTAAGACCCTGTCTCCCAGGAACCAGGACCATCCGCAGCTGGGGTGGGCTTGCTGGGTTGGGGCCCTTCTGAGGGTCTTGGGAGGACCCTGAAGCTGGCCAAATAGGAAGGGTTGTAGTCTGCCCTGGGGCAACTCACAGATTGGCTCTAACATGCCAGTGGTGTTACTAGCCCACAGCCAGGAGAGGGAGGGCTCTGAGGCACGCCGGCCTCTCTCTGCCTGAACACTTCTAACTTAATTACTGCACGGATTCCAGCAACCGCATGCTTTCCCTGGGCAGGTGGCTCACTAGTTCCTGTCCTGTCTGGGCCCAGGCCCACAAGGAGTCCCCAGGTACCTGAAGGTCGTTCCTTCCAGGTCATCAAGTCTCATCCACATCCTGCCACCACACCTGGCCTGTCCATCTGAGGCCAGGATTCCACCCATCCTGCTGAAGGCCAGGCCATCTCCTGTCCCTGTGCTGCCTGCGGGAGGGGCTCGCCTGTCAGAAGCCTGAAGGTCTCTGATTGATTCACTCCCTCTCCCGCTTCTCTTGTTTGCTGCCTTTTTGAGTGTGGCGGCCTGGGTCCCCTGCTGCTCCATTTGTGTTCTCTGGCTCAGATAGAGTGTTTTCCAGCACTGGTCTGGTACTCTTCGTCCATTTGTCTCCCAGGCAGCAAACTGTGCAGAGGATTGTGGGAATGTGGTCCCAGCTCAGACATGGGGACAGTGTTGCACTGTGTCAGGCACGGGGGGCAGGGTCAGGCCATGGCTCTCAGGGGGTTCCTTTCCTATCTGCTTTGGGGTTAGAGAGGGGGTTTCTCCTTTGTTTCTCTTTCAAGTTGGAGACCATGCCATTAATCCTTTGGGATGGTGGAAGCGACTGGCACTGTTTGTCCCTTCTGAACTGCATTCTCCAGTCATGACACAGAGCAAGGGACCAAGCACTGTTCCTCTTTTGGGACAGAGCTCACCTCGGCCACTGCTGGATTTTATCTAGTATTTTCCAGGTGCTGGACCTGGACAGCATCACCTGCTTATACTGAAAGCCACCATTTGACCATTTCCCCCAAAACTCAATATCACACAATTCACAGTCATGTCCCAAGCTAAGTGCAGTGATGTAGAAAGAGCGGAGTTGATAGGAGGATTCAAGGTATTCAGGGCGAGCCCCCTGCAAGTGCCTAGCCTAGAGAGGGTCCTTACTAAAGGGTAATTGTTTTGTCATGAATGTTGTTATGATTGTTTTTATTCTGTAAGCCAAGGGAGTGGTTTGAGGCCAAAAAGACTGCAAGTGCCTTTTGTTCACCCAAGACCCTTCTTTCCTTCTTTCTGTGTCTGTGTTACTGTGTCTCAAAGCGGCTGTCCTGCAGCCCAGGCTGTACTCCCAGCTTCTCCAGCTGGAAAGATCTGAGTGAGTCGGGTTGTGTGCATTTTAATAAGTGTCTCGTAAGACTTTGGATGCCGGGAGGCTTGGTTTTTGCTGGTGTACGTCCTGAGGAGGTGGGGGGCGCTGCAGGGAGGGCAGTAACAGCGCAGCGGCTGGTCCTGAAGGTTCTTTTGAGAGAATGTGCCTGGGGGCAGAACCCAAGGGAGTCCCAGCTGCTGCGTGAGCCAGGCAGCAGGAAACCCTGGATGAGCCACTGGGAAGCCCAGCCCCAGAGGCTCCCAGAGCCTCCAAGAGGAGAAAGTTGAGTGCTGGAAGCCAGTCACAATAAAAGCCAAACAGCACACAAGGGAAGGGGATGAAAGTTTAATTACATGGTGTGGCCAAGCTGTAATTATTAATTACTGACAGCAAAAAATAACTTATTGATCAGGGCCTCTTGCTAATTACCACAAGGCCGGGCGTCGTGCTTGCCTGCGGCTCAGCTGGGACGTGTCAAAAGCCCCACACAAGAGCGGGCCGGTGGGCGGGGAGGCCCTGCTCCTTCATCCCTGTCTCCCTGGGTCTGAGGTGGCCCTCTGCCCTGCACCCATCTCTCCTCACCCTGAGGCCACTGGGCTTCAGCTGGGGAGCCTGGAACATTGTGGCTGTGGTTAGCTGGGTGAAATGGTTTGATGCTCCTATTGGCTGCAGAGTATCACCCTGCCTGAGATGAGCAGACCCAGCCTCCCCCACCACCACCCAGAGGCCCCGTCATGCTGGCAGCCTAACACCTGCCTCAGAAACCCTCCCTTTCATGAATTTGTTCGGCAAATATTTATCGACTGCCTCTCCCTTATGTCCTCTGCTGGAAGGCCAGAGTGGGGGCTAGAACCTTGTTCCATAAGAGAAGAGAGCTGGGAAAGTGGCCAAATCCTTTACAGCAGTTCTCTGTTTAAACAGTGCCTGGACGGCCGACTTTAAAATGATGTGTTAAACTGCGTATTGGTATGCGTTTGACTTTGTACCCCAGCACAGTTGGGCTGTAAGCTGAATGGTAAGAGAGAATGACCTTGTTCTCTGTCCTAAGGATTGCAAGAATCAGTGCATTTGACTTGAAAGAAACATGAAAAGTCATGTAGTGCTGTCCTCTGCCCGCAAACCTGAGACAAGCATCCATCTGGTCCCTGCTTATATACCCTTGGTGATAGAGGACTCACTACCTTACAAAAGCTTGTTGTTAGACAGCCTGCCTGTGGCTGGTTGTCCTAGGATTTGGCTGCAGTTGAAGGAGTCATCTGTTCGACCAGAAAACCCCCTCCTGGTCCCTGTCCCCCAGCCTGGGAGTCAGGAGACTGAGTTGGAATGGATGTTGGGTGTTAACAGTGCTGCCTGCACCCTGTCCCCGCCTGGAGCACACTGCGGCAGGCGGCCCTGGGGCTGCCCAAAGAGGTGGGAATTAGTCATCATAATATGGGGCCTTGGGATGCCAACTGCAACAAATGGGCCAGGAGCGCTGCCGGCAGCCCTGCCGCCTGGAGTGGAAAGGAAAACATCCTGGTAGCTCCTGAGGTCCAAGCCCCTGGGGGAGGGTGGGAGGGCGGCCCAGAGCTAGGTGTCTGGTCCAGAAAGCCCCTCTCGGGGCCCGGGAGCTCTGCTGGCGGCTCCCAGCCTGGGTTCCGGCCTCTGCCTGCACTGCTGGCTGACCCTGAGCGGGGGGCCCAGGCTTCCCATCCGTAAAAGGAGGGAACAGTTAAAAATAACTGTATCTATTTAATTCTAAGCATTGGGGGGGTATCTAGGCATTGGGGGGATATTAAATGCAATTATCTCAGTCACTTTTAAAATGCTCTTAGTATACATGAATGCTCCAAATGTGTGGGCCACACAGCTGTGAGGGTGTCAGGGTCCATCCTTGCTGTTCCCCACACTCAGGCCTCCTCTGGGACCTTGCGCTCACCACACTGACTGCCTTTCTGTTCCCAGAACTTACCAGGTACTCTCTGGCCTCCCACCTCCACTTGAGCTCCTGCTGACCGGGAGGCGGCTCCCAACCCTTCCAGGTGTCTGCAAGGCCCCTCCTTGTGTCCTCCAGTGTCCCCTCTCTGTCCCTAAGCATCCTAGCCAAGCACGCACCCCTCTTGTGCTTTGCTCTCTCCATCTGACATATACTGACTTGTTTACTTACTGACGGTCTCTCAT